AACGAGATATGGATACTAAGGACGAGGCGTACATAAGAGCAATACAGCAATTACAAGAAACCAACGAAGCGCAAGACGAAGACACTCAGCACCGCATTAGTATGTTGCTGAGTGAAAGGGACGCTGCTAGAAATAACTTTGACCGCGCAGTCATGGACGTTGGAGATAGGAACGCCGAACTTAGGCGTCTGGGTGCGGAGCTGGAAGCCTCGGTAATGCAAGAGCGGCGGTTAAACACGGAAATCAACGTTAAAGGGGAGCAATTAAGACAAAGAGAGCAAGCCATAGAGGACCTGGAAAGGCAAATACAAACGCAACGGGAAATAATCGACGATCAAACTCGCGCCGACGGGGAAAGAGAAGCAGCTCGGGCGCAAGTAGGGTCCCTAGAGGAAAGGATTGCGGAGTTGCAGGCGCAAAGGGAAGGCTTGGAAAGGGAGCTGGGGCTTACCACCAAACAAAAAATACTAAGAGGCCTTCGGAGGTACGGCATTCCATTAGCGTTTGCCGGAGCGCTCGCAGGCGCTATTGCTGGAATTATGAATGCAATTAACGGTGTGGCTTCAGGTGCAAAGGCGCTTGGAAAAAAGGTGGGAAAAGAAAGGGGGGAAATGGGAAAAAAATTAGGTGCGGGCCTAATAACCCTGGGAAAAACAATGGCAGCCAGCGTTCCCGGGCTGCTTGGTAGCACCTTAGGTTTGGTACTGAAGACCGGCGGCGAACTGTTGAAGTTCGTGGGGAATAACATTTGGATATTAGTCGTCGCTATCGGCGTGGTATTCCTGAAGAAGATGCGGGGTTAGCCTTATCTAGGTACGTTACTGGTGGCTTATCGTCGTCAGTCCTCCTGGGCGTCCTCGACTGGGGATAAGTAAAGATAGTATTCGCACCGCCTTGATAATGCGGAACTAGCGGTATGGCAGTCATAGTAGAAATGGGTTTATGATTATAAGCAGAATTACCCGGTACAGAGGATTGCGTTGCAACAGCATTTATCAAAATGTGAATGTTAAAATTGCTTTCCGCGTAAGTATTAATCTGAAGCTTTGCGTATCGACAATTGACTATCATATGAAAAGTTATCAACGCCATGTCATCTAAAGTATCTCCGGGTTCGTATGAAAAATGAACTGGATCTCTATTATTCTTTTTTTCCCTGTAAGGTGGTAACGTATAATTATTCTCATCTAC